AAATGTCAATCCATTGGTAGTGAAGAGATAGTGATTATCATGATTGTCATAATTGTCTTAATTATAGTAGACATGCAATCCATAGCTGACGAGTAGTAATGTCTCAATTGATATGTCTGTTGATCGCACCCATAGGTTGAGGCCTAACCAGAGTCTTGGGTTGACGTGTGAAGCGATGCCCCTCTCGAGGACCAGATCACTGATCGCTAACATAAACGGAGTGCCGAATGAGTCGTTTTTGCCACAAATCTCGGACAAGACTAATGGCGTCAACATTAACGGCGCGGTTCTGTTGCCGCCCATCACTAAGACATTCACTTTCGACGGATTCAAGGCGTCGAGTAGAGAGACGGGCGCTGACTCCCAGTCCCTTCAGGCCTTCGACGAGCAGCCCATGCATACGAATGGCGATGCGGTGACACTCCCGCGCGCGGCCGTTGCCAACAACCAGTTGTCTGAAGTGAGTCCCACCTCAGGCTCGGTGTCCAACGAGGAGATGGACAAGAGTTCGTCCGTCAGTGCGAACGGAGTGAAGTCGAAGCCTCTGGTGGTGACCCCCGAGCAGGTGATGAAGCTGTACGCCTACAAACTGACGCCCTATGAGCACCACGAGGTGTTCGGCTACTCCCAGATCTACTTCATCGGCGCCAACGCCAAGAAGCGTCAGGGAGTGATCGGCGGTCCCAACAACTGCGGCTACGACGACGAGCACGGGTCGTACCTCCACGTCCCGCACGACCACATCGTCTATCGCTACGAAATGCTCAAAATCATCGGCAAAGGCAGCTTCGGTCAAGTGATCAAAGCCTATGACCATAAGAGCCAGCAATACGTGGCCTTAAAGATGGTGCGCAACGAGAAGCGCTTCCACCGTCAGGCGCAGGAGGAGATCCGCATTCTGGACCACATGCGGAAGCAGGACAAAGACAACGCCATGAATATCATCCATATGTTCGAGAACTTCACATTCCGGAACCACATGTGTATCACTTTCGAGCTCTTGAGTGTCAATCTCTACGAACTCATCAAAAAGAATAAGTTCCAGGGATTCAGCATTCAGTTGGTGCGCCGGTTCGCCTACTCTATACTCAGGTGTCTGGAGGCGCTGTACAACAACAAGATCATCCACTGCGACCTCAAGCCCGAGAACGTACTGCTCAAACAACAGGGCCGGTCGGGCATCAAAGTGATCGACTTTGGCAGCAGTTGCTTCGAGCACCAGCGCGTCTACACCTACATCCAGTCCCGCTTCTATCGCGCGCCCGAAGTGATTCTCGGCGCCAAATACGGAATGCCTATCGATATGTGGAGTCTGGGCTGCATTCTGGCGGAGTTGGCCACCGGTTACCCACTGCTGCCCGGGGAGGACGAGTTCGATCAGTTGGCCTGTATTATAGAACTGCTGGGAATGCCTCCACAGAAACTGCTCGACCAGTCCAAGAGAGTCAAGAACTTCATCAGTTCCAAGGGTTACCCCCGTTATTGCACTTCGACGCCACTGTCCGACGGAAGTGTAGTCATAAACGGTGGCCGTTCGAGACGCGGCAAAATGCGAGGCCCGCCCGCCTCTAAGGAGTGGTCGTCCGCTCTCAAGGGTTGTGACGACGAGTACTTCATTGACTTTATTAAGAAGTGTCTCGAATGGGATCCGTCGACGCGAATGACTCCCTACACAGCTCTGAGGCACTCGTGGCTGACCCGCCGCCGACTGCCCCGACCCCCACAAAACAGTGATAACTCGGCTGTGAGTGAGTCGTCACCCGTGCGACTGCACCACAACTACCACTCAAACAACAATAACAACAACTCATTGGTGACCACCAATCGGGTCCGCAAGTCAATGGTCGATGAGGTGCTGTTGGGCGAGAGTGACGGCACATACCTGACCCGCATCTGGGACCCCAACAACCCCGACACCAAGTCGTACGACTCGAACAGCTCAACACTGGGCCGCAAACCAGAGCACAGGAATCGCAGCAAAGACTCGAACAACCGTTTAGTGAATACCATAAACAATAAGTTACACAAAGAGAAGGTGCGGACCGACGACTCGGTGTCGGCCGCCAATGGCCGCAACTGGACTAACGAGGGTTTTGTCTCCACGGTTATCCGATTCAAATGATTCTAGGTTATCTTAGGTTTAGTTAATGACAGTAATCGCAGTCCATATGTCCATATCTGTCCACTTGTCAACCGACATGTCATGATATGCAATGTGTCCACAGATCTGAGTGTTGTGTACGACTGCTGTACAGATGCTGTGCAACCACTACTGTATTATAGTATTACCGGTACTGTAATTGTAACTGTTCTAGGATCATTTCGATGTCTAATTGCAAGTTGCATATTTGCATTGCTAATTTACATTTACATTGACTTTAATTTATTGTATACAGTGCTGTACTACAGTCAGTACTCGTTTGTATTAATAACAGTTTGTTGATTACAGTATACACAGCATCTTATTATGCATTTTCTAATTAACTACAAATTCACATTCAATGTAATATACTGTACATTCAATTGTATTCATATTTTATAGTGACTTCACTCTATTGTATGATTTAATATTATTAATTTAATAGCTATTATAACAAATTGATTCAAATTCAACACAAAGGGGACACACTGTAAGGCATAGGCTATGAAGCGTCACATCGTATTTGAATGATCTCTCATTTGTTGTCTCATGTATTGAATGAATGAATGAAATAATAAAATCTCTTTTACATCACATTTCACTGCATTTCGTGATCTATTCGTTTCATTAGTATTGCTATTATTGCCATCACTGACACCATGAGTGAGGGTGACTGGGATCAGGTGACTGTACTAAGGAAGAAGCCTCCGAAGGCATCGGCCATGAAGACCCAACAGGCCATCAATGCTGCCCAAAAGCAGGGCATTCCCATCGAGACCAACAAGAAGTATGCCGCGGGAACCAACAAGCACTCGGCCACGACCCTCAACACCACTAAACTGGACAGAGAGACCGAGGAGTTGCACCACCAGACGGTCACTCAGGACGTGGCGCGACTCATCCAACAGACACGACAGGCGAAGGGCATCACTCAGAAGGACTTGGCCACCAAGATATGCGAGAAGCCACAGGTCGTGAACGAGTACGAGTCCGGCAAAGCCATCCCCAACCAGCAGGTCATCGGCAAACTCGAGAGGGCTCTCGGGGTTAAGCTCCGCGGCAAAGACAAGGGTCAGCCGCTGGTCCCCAAACCCGCCAAGAAGTGATCCACTGATCCACTGATCACTACTCTGTTGTTAGGCATTGAATTGTCCTCAAAATGATTCAAACATTGTATTCAAACCGACTCTCAGTTTAATTCAAGTTTTTGTATTTTTTTCAAATGTAATCGATTGCAGAGTTTTTGTCAAATAAGAGTTTATTATTAAAATAAATGTAATCAAAAAATATTGTCTTTATTATTAGTCGAAATAGTCTTCGATGTCCACTGTATTGTCGAGCAAGTGGTCCCCAAAAGCGCTCAAATCGAGTTGATCCAGGATCAAATGCTCAAAGGTCTCCTCGAGGTCTGAAATTGCAATTATGTACTGTAGTTATCGTACGGATTAGACTTCACAGTGTTATAGACTACACGGACATAGGGGGGCCCCGAAAGGACACTCAATCATTGAAACAAGAAATTGGTTCACATGAAACGTTCACACAATACAATCCAAACACTATAACAGTAATAGTACCCAAAATGGGTCCAAGTGTTGGTCAACTTACCGGTGTCGCCAATGAGCAGAGCGCCGACCATTTTATGATCCCTGAGCACCACTTTGACGAACTGTTGCTGTGGCACAACCCTCACGAGTGTCCGACACTCACTCGGCTCCAAGTTTTGGCCGTTATATAGACCTAAGAGCACCACTTTATAGCCGAAAAAGCGAGTCATGTGTGCGAACACATCGAAGTTGAAGTACAACTCAGCGCTCGTGCCGTTGAGGTGTGCGGACATACATAAGGCGGCGTAGACTGAGTATTACCCGGGTTATGGTTTGCATTTTGTAGAGTTTTGTCAAATAAGAGTCAAATTAGTATCAGAGTATCAGAACAGTACAGTACAGTACCTCCCATTTGTCGTGCCTGTGTCCACAACCGCATCTGAAACCAGAGTTCACTGGTATGCCAGTCCACTGTGGTTACATCCCCGGCCGCGTAAACATCTTCATGTGAAGTCAGCATTTGGTTGTTTACCTGAAATTCGAGTCAATCTTTATTAGTGGTAATAATGAGCACATCTGTCACTCGATATAAAAACTCGTGACTATTACTACAGTAGTGTTAATCTCAACAATTAGTGGTTCAGTAAATGTTTTCAAATGCATATACTGTACAGTAAATGACAACAAATCTTACTTTCAGACCTCCATCCGATGCCAACTCGAAGTGATTTCCTTTAAGTATAGACTGTGTGTTGGGTTGGACTCCAGTGGCGTTGACAATGAGATCACATCCATAAAAGAGCACCACTTTATAGCCGAAAAAGCGAGTCATGTGTGCGAACACATCGAAGTTGAAGTACAACTCAGCGCTCGTGCCGTTGAGGTGTGCGGACATACATAAGGCGGCGTAGACTGAGTATTACCAGGGTTATGGTTTGCATTTTGTAGTTTTGTCAAATAAGAGTCAAATTAGTATCAGAGTATCAGAACAGTACAGTACAGTACAGTACCTCCCATTTGTCGTGCCTGTGTCCACAACCGCATCTGAAACCAGAGTTCACTGGTATGCCAATCCACTGTGGTTACATCCCCGGCCGCGTAAACATCTTCGTGTGAAGTCAGCATTTGGTTGTTTACCTGAAATTCGAGTCAATCTTTATTAGTGGTAATAATGAGCACATCTGTCACTCGATATAAAAACTCGTGACTATTACTACAGTTGTGTTAATCTCAACAATTAGTGGTTCAGTAAATGTTTTCAAATGCATATATCTATACAGTAAATGACAACAAATCTTACTTTCAGACCTCCATCCGATGCCAACTCGAAGTGATTTCCTTTAAGTATAGACTGTGTGTTGGGTTGGACTCCAGTGGCGTTGACAATGAGATCACATCCATAATACAGTAAATGACAACAAATCTTACTTTCAGACCTCCATCCGATGCCAACTCGAAGTGATTTCCTTTAAGTATAGACTGTGTGTTGGGTTGGACTCCAGTGGCGTTGACAATGAGATCACATCCATATATGCGACCAGTGGTCAGCTCAACAAAGACGGGCCAATCACTGCAATCATCGACTTCTAAATACAATGAGAAGATTAGATGACAATCCAATAATCCAATGTGAGATTGTGGTGAAGGGATTGCAGTCATAACGGATTACAACAAACCGTTTGATTTGTAGATCAAATGCTTCTTCGAATCGTCGATCGACTCAAAGCTCTCAAAAATATTGTTTGCCTCACATTTGGGTTCAATTGTGACACTCTTCGAGTGACTGATGCCTATCATCGGTCTATACAGAGTCCAATCGGGGCCGAGAGCGGCCCCGAACTCTGAACGGCCCTCACGAGTAACCATCTCTACGGTATAGTTGAGTCGTTTGGATATATTTGGACTATCTTTGGGACAGTCTTTGGAACAGTCTTTGGGGCAGTGGTTGAGCCGATCGGACATAAATTTAGCGGCCATTGGGTCGAAATAAAGAGCACCCATCGAGTCATCTTTGATGCACCAAATGAGGTGACAGTTGACTATTTGATGGACCAGTTCTGTAGCGATACCTCCGTTGCCCACAATCACCACTCGTTTGGCGTCTTTGAGTCTACTTTGAAACTCACTGACAGTTTGTGTGTCTCTAATGACCACAATATGATCACTATATAAGCGATTCGTGTCCTTCACTGTGTCTGCCATAGCAATCATCTTGGGTTTAGCGCCCAAACAGACACACAGTTTGTCATATCTGACAGTCTGTCCACCGTTTAGTGTCAACTCATGTGCGCAAGCATTCAATGCCATCACTTCATTGCTTAAGATCTCAATGTTGTGGTACTTCTGCACCAAATAATGCTTCTTCTCTTCCCTCACATCCAACTCATCCATCGTTTGACCGA